TCCCCAGTGGCATGTTGTGTATCCATGGCTGCCCTGGACTATCTCTGGACTTGTTTCATGAAACTAGCCCCTAGTAGAATTAAAAAACATCTTAGGAGAGATGTTTATAGCAGATTAAATGATAAACCTAAAACACAAATAACATATTATAAAAATTAAGAGAGCAGACACAATGAGCTTGCAGATGCTGGCTGGCCACACTCATTTTTGGCTCTCACCCCCATGGATGCCTCACCTACTGTGACACTTGGAGAGCTGGCAGCCATCACTCAAGAAATCAGAACACATTGGCCTCAACTGCAGCATCAGGGAACAAAGCAAACGCTAAGCTTGTCAGCTCTCAAGAAACATACTTATGTGTATGAACATGGGACATAAATTCATTCAGTGACTTTGAGATATCTCATGCTAAACAGATAAAATTGATTAAAACTAGTTTAATTAAAACTAAATTACTTGATTAAAACTAATTACCATAATTAAAAATTTATGGCAACAATACTCCAACTCCCCATTATTTATTCAGGGCATTGAAAATTAGAACACATCACAGATCCCTAAGTCATTCTCTGAATCAGGAGGAGAAAAGGGGAGAACAGAGACAGCTCACATATATGTGCCAGGCACTGGGCTGAGTGCTGTGCCTGCAGAATCCCACTTGATGCTTGCAATAATCCTGCAAGATAAAAGTAAAAACTTGCACACACACACACTCACACACACACATGAACTCACACACAGACACACATGCTCATACACACTCTAGAAACTATACAACAAAGAAACCATTGGCAAGTAATAGAAGTATAGTGCTGGCCAATCACATTGGCTCACGTCTATCATCTCAGCACTTTAGTCCAGGAGTTCAAGACAAGCCTGGGCAACATAGCAAGACACCATCTCTACAAAACATTTTCTTAGATAAAAATCATTTTGAAAAACAGGTATGATGCCTAAGGGCTCAGGGAAGCAATATCTTTATGGCTGTATGGTAAGCAGCAGGCAAGGCTACTTGTGAGAACAAAGTGGTATTAATTCCAGGGTTCCTTTGCACACTGAGCCAGGAGACTGGCTAGCTCAGCACTGCCTGGGTTCTCTTTACCCTTTCCACAGCTCTAAAGCTCTGCCAGGCACGACTTACACATAAGAGAAAGTTATATTACTCAGGACTCTCTTGACTTCAAGTGAGTCCCTGATCCACTTAACCTAACTTGAGCCAGCAGAACATTGAATTATTTGGCTCTCATAACTAAAAATATCCACGAGTAGATGGCTTCTGGCTCAGTGGGATCAGGGGTCAACTAATATCAACGAAGGCTCATTCTGTCCCTTCATTTCCTGTGTCAGTTCTGCTTTTCAGGCAGGCTATTTTGAGAGAGCAGCAAAAATGTCCCCATAAAGTTCATATCACTTATTTCCTTGCAAGTATCTAATCCAATAAAAAGAAAACACCTCACTCCCTGCAGTTTCATCAAAGGTGCAGGGATGACGTCCATGAGCCCAGCTTGCATCACATGCCCATTCCTGAATTAATTACCCTGCTGAGCTGATTGCCCAGGATGGGTTAGCCCTTCCCAAATCACATGAGTTAGACATGGAAGAGTGGTCCTCCCATGAAAACAAAATGGAAGGATAGTGGCAAAGGAATATGGGTGGCATGGCCTCATCTCTACATAAAAAGTATGAGCGTATTTGTGTTCTATTATACACTTGTTTACATAGTCACTGGGAAAAAGAAAAACCCACACATGGCTTCTACATGCCTCTGTGCTTTGTTTTCAACAAGGAGCTGTGATAAATTTAATTATTACAACAAAACTTTGAAAATAAATAATGATTTGGGACAATGGGGACACTTCTCTGATGCAACACAGGTGAGCAGTTCTTTTGCTCCATGAAGACACAATTCCCAGGAGCCTGCCTGGGGTCTCCCAGAACAAGCAGGTGGGCTACCCACTGGCTGCACTTCCACCTTTCCTTTCCTGGACTGTCAGGAAGAAATGAGTTCTGAATTCAGTTGAACTGAGTTCAAGTTCAGGCTCTGTGACTCATTGGCTCTGTAATTCTGGGGAAGTCACTTGCTCCCCTTGAGTTCCATATCCTCCTTGATTAAATGGAGAGGTGGAGTTATTGTTAGGTTTTGAGCAAGGCGAGGGTTAAAGAAAGACAGAGACAGTTGGCGGCT